CACATGGCACGTTTAAGGGCCAGGCACCACAATGATTTGCCTAGCTTCTGAAAACTTTAACAGGCAGTAAAGCCTACGATGGTTGATGGACGATTGCAAAATCGGTAACATCTATTAACTCCCCATTCCCCATGCCCAACAAGCAAAGCAGCAGAATGTCTCTGGGGTTTAAGCAGTTCCCTGATATTCATAAGCTTTTAAGACCCTAGTCACTACTCACTAAATTAGGATGCAGGACACTGTCTTTGTGAACTATGATGTTATGCCAACTGCCCTTGATGTCCACTGAGACTATGATCCTGAACCTCCAGGTCCAGTAATGCATTCCCTCTATGCTCTATACAGGGTCACTATGAGTCAGAACCGAACAACGGCACTTAGCAACATGTCTGATAAAGCACTAGACTACAGGGTTGGTTTGGAAGGCAATGCTGGAAGTTGAAACTCACCAGTCGTTCTTCAGAAACCCTATATAGGATCTCTATGAGTCGGAATCGACTTGAAGGCACTTAACAATAACAACATGCTCTACTATACTCATGGGTATATTCTTAGTACATATAGATACATATGTTAAATACCATCGAATAGGTTCCGACCCATAGCAATCCTTTGTGAATGCAGTTCTATTCACTTTCCCATACTTGCAGTTCTATTCACTTTCCCATACTTGCATGTCTATGTATCAACTTGTAGGTTATTGTTAGTACTATTATTGCAGGATTGTGTGTGCAATTGTATTTGACTTTGTTGCCTTTAACTGTTGTATTCCTCCCAGTGTCTTCCTTTGCCTTGGTCATTTTGGGCGGTTCATCCTCTTATTGAATATTGCCTTTCCCTTCACCTAAGTTAATACCTGTCTGGTCAGAAAATTGCCCTTCTTTTCCCTGCCTCCCCTGGTAACCTTCACATACTAATTCTTTTTGTATATAGACCTTTTCTTGACTTTTTTTTTTTTTTTAAGGTTCATACAATATTTGTCCTTTAGTGATTGATTTATTTCATTCATCATAATGTTCTCCATGCTCATCCATGTTATGAGGTGTTTTGCAGATTCATT